AATCTTATATATCTACATACATCTATTATATACATTTTATTCTCGCGTCACGTTGTTGTCCACGATGAACTTCGAAACTGGCTCTCCGATTTGCTAGAAGTTTTGTGCGTAGGTACTCTATTACATTGGTCATACTATAGGATACTTCTTTTCTGGGAAGTGGACCAGTGACAGATCTATTCGAAAAAATCTTATTTATGGTTCGATTTGCATGGAATTTGGTATGTGGGTAGCTTTTTACCTAGGTTAATATATAGAAATTTTTTTTCCGGGAAGTGGACCAGGGTCCAATTATTCGAAAAAACGTTATTTATGATGCGATTTGGTTGAAATTTAGTCCGTAGGTAGCTTTTTGCTTAAGTTAACATATAGGATACCTTTTTCCGGGAATTGGACTAGGAACCGACCTATTCAAACAAATCGTATTTATGGTTCGATTTGCTTGAAATTTGGTACGTGGGTAGCTTTTTGACATTGTTAACATGTAGAATGCTGTTTTTTCGGAAAGTGGACCAGGGACTGATCTATTCGAAAAAATCGTATTTATGGTTCGGTTTGCTTGAAATTTGGTACGTGAGTAGCTTTTTGCCCAGGTTAATATACTTTTTTCCGGGAAGTGGACCAGGGACCGACCGATCTGTTCGAAAAAAACGTATTTATGATTCGATTTGCTACAAATTTGGTACATAGGTAGCTTATTGCCTGTATTAATATATAGGATACCTTTTCTCCGTTTATTGAAGTTTTTTTTTTATTTTTGCAATACTTGGGGTGAGCATCAAAGCATGCAAAATTCTTCGCGTCGCAGCTTGGCTTTTATTATCATAATTGCGTGTACATTATTATTCATCTGTAGGGCATATATCTATACTAATATGTATTTTGAAAGCCGGTTTTTCTTTGTTCGCAAAGCTCGAGAACGGCTGAACAGATTTTTTCTTAAATTTCGGACACCTGCCGCACACGTCCCAAGGATGGTTATAGGATAAAAAATATTTCGAGATATACCGAACAAACCAAAATTTTCATACTGCATATCTCTGGAAGTGTTCATGGTAGAATACCGGAACTTGGTATGGAGATATATGAAATAAATCGCATAGTCTTGGAGAAAAATTGGAGCTATTGGAAATGGGGGCGTGGCACTCCCATACAAACCGAATTTTTTATACTGTATATCTCTGGACGTCTTCATGGTAGAGTTCTGGAACTTAGTAGGGAGAAATATGAAATAAATCGCATACTCTTGGAGGAAAATTGGAGCTATTGTAAAAGGGGGCGTGGCACCTCCCATACAAACCACATGTTTCATACTACGTATCTCTGGAAGTGTTCATGCTAGAGTACTCGAACTTCGCATGAAGATATGTATATGTATATTTATATGCAATCAAGCCAATACTCATGGAGAAAATTGGGGTTATTTGAAAGGGGACGTGGGGCCTACAAACGTACCAACTTTTAGCTATCTTTGAATGTATTTATAATTCGTATGTAGGTGTATTTGTGGGTGAAATCCTCCTAAATGGGTGTCCGGATTTTAACGAAATTTTTTGTGTGTGTTTCAGTGGTCTCTGGATGGTGTAGTTTCACAATTTAACCCGCCAGATGGCGCTGTAGTTCAGTTATTACTAGAAATCTCATTTATGATCCGATTTGGCTAATATTTAAAATATGTATTGGTAACGGGTAGAGAAACCCTATTTAGTGCTGACAGATGGCGCTGGAGTATAAAGTCTCTAGGATAGATTCAATATAGAACCGGATCATTGTTGCCGCCAGGGAGTGAAGAGGAAAAGGTTCTTCAAATTTATTGCTATTAACCATGCTATGAAATGCAGCACAATTGGAAAATTTCAAGAACTTCTTCATGGACAAAACACCTTCGTTAGGTTATTTAAAGCGGCAAACGACCTCCAAACCAGCAGATGAATGTGCCAATGAAAATCTTAAACGTGAATTGTTGGTGAAAATGTTGGACCAAAAAGTTTTAATAAAAAAATTAATTTTGAGCGGGCTTAAGTTCGCCGGGTCTGCTAGTGATATATAAGATGACATGTTGCTTCGCTAACTGATATTCGGGTTGTATCAATCAGTACTTTAAATAGTTTTTATTAATATTTCGGTCAAAGTAGCTCTTAGAGGGTTAAAAACTAAATTCGGCACATCTACCCCAACTCATCAGCATGTGCATATGAAAATAAATAAAAATTTTATTTTAAAGTATTTTCTGTTACTTATGTACATTCATAACTTTCCTTTGAATAAAAGTATACTGAAAGGTACTCATATTTATAGCTTAAAAAGGTCTAAGGTACTGACTTTGGGCAAACAAAATCTGGCAACACTAGGTTAAAAGACCAAATGACTTGAAACCAGTTGTAAGTCTACATGTGTACCAGTTTAACCCTAGAGTAGTCGCGCCCTTACGTGAAGCGCGAGTGATCGCGTGGGGAGCATTTTGTCGCCCATGTTTAAAAAGCTGTTGTGTTGGAATTAATAGTCAAATGAATTTAAAATTATTTTATTACGCCAGAACTAAGCGAAAGAGCAACATTTATTAAAGTTTTACTGTTGTATATAACAACGCTTGACCTTTACAAATGTGCTGTTTGAAAAATAGCATGGAGTTTTTTGCCCCGGGCGGCTAAATGCTCATGGCGCGAGCACTCTAGGGTTGATACATCCACACGTACTACATAGAGATGCTCGCGTGAGAAAATTTTAAACTACAACCACAATCCCGCAAAGAAAAATAAAATTGCACCACCCTAACGCACAAAAAGGATCGGACTCACGGCACTCACACTAATAAATCCAACGTGTTTTTTACTTTTGCAACATTTAACCGTTAGTCGATCCTTGGAACAAAAATGTTCCATATTAATTTTGTGTTACCCTATGCTTTTTTGTAAGGGAAGATTGTAGGCGTGGGTAACACAGTGCGGCGCTGCGCCATTGCGCTGATACCGATAGGTGAGTTGCGGGCGCTGATACCGGGTGTCGCGAAGAACCAGCAAAGAACCCACAAAAGAGAAATGCCACTTGTAAAATGTACAGCACAAGGCGAATTTATACAAGGAGGTGTTGCTAGAATTCGCCGCTCAACCATTACTAGCTTGTATTAATTCGCCTTGATGGAGCAATAAGCAAAATGAAATGCGCTTTAGGCTGAAGAGGTGCAATTGTCCCAACACACTGTTCTGATTCCGGCAGTGGCGCTACCTAGATTGTTGAAATATCACACTGTGCAGTGGTGCCAGATGTAGGGATTTCACCCCATTTTGAGGATTGAGGGCTCGACAATATGAAGTTAGCATTTCAGGATACTATTTTTTATCCATATAGATAGGGAAAACTGGAAAGTTACTAAAGGGGATTCAGAAGAAATTGGGACTTTTTTGGGATAACTGCCGCCCGATATTGGGATCCGGTACGAAAATATTCTGCCTACGCTGCTTACGATGATTTTTGTTCAGATCAAGAATATGCTTCATCATAACTAACTTCGGAAGATGATACTGATGAGGAAAAATCGCATAAGGAAATACATTGGGAAGGAAGGGAGCATCTGGAATCTATTAGAAATGGCAACAGAAAAGCTCTACGTTTATTTAGAAACTCATCTCACATAAGGTGGTTTTGCCTCCCAGGTTTATTGTGGCCAAACTAGTTGATAGATTTTGATATTTTTTTTTTTAGAATAATAACAATCTTCCTTTACAGAAAACAGTTTTACAGTATTAAATAAATTAAAAGAGAAGTTTAATGTTACAATATACAAAAGCTTTGCCTGTTTTCTTCATTTAATCATGCTCGGTGTCTCACAGACTCTTCTGAGCGGTTATGTTGTAAAATTTTCTGAGCTGGTGAAGGTTAAGTGAAGCTATTCTAAACGACAAATAAGGGGTGAAAAAAGTGCCTCTCTGCATGTCTCCTGGAAAGGGGTTTCTTATTTACAATTTACGCGAATGTACTTAATAGTCGGGGAGGCGAGCGACAATGCATTGCAAGCATTTTATAAACGCTGAATTTTTGATATCATATCACATTTGTGGTGTAGAGAAATAGCCTGGTGTCAGTCAGTCTAATTCGTAGCGTCTGGCGCGGAGGCAGCTTTAATTTTGTATAGAAACTCTAAATCTAAATCTGAAAAATTAATTGCGAGCAGGATACTGATTAAAAAGTAGTATGACATTAGTCAGTCAATAAAGTCCTGCAACAGAACGCGTCAGTTGCTCGTTGAAGTTGTACAAAATCTCTGCATCGTGCAAGCATCTTATAAAATATTATTGTAATTACAAAAATAATAGTCGGTCAGAATTATCCTGTAACAGATGCCGTCAGTCGCCGATAGAAGGATGTGCTCCTGTAATACGGCGCGCTCAATAAAAATTAACAAACATTTTTTTTTTTACTTTTGAAAAAATAAACATAAAAATATAATTATTTCAATCAGAATATTATAACTGTCGTCTGACTCATCGTCATTCTCTTCCGTATAACTCACTGATGCCCCAGCATCTGAATACTAAAAAAATGTATAAGTCAAAAATTAGAAAACACCTTGTCGGGAATTTCGTAGTCGATTACTAAAATACCCAATTTTTGGCCAACTTATTACGGCTAACTTTTAATTGGTTTCAAAGTCATTCAGAGCCCAATTGAGGGGAAATGTATGTATGCATGTATGTAAAATTTTTTGACAATTTTCACCTTGTTCTCAAAAACAAAAAATTGAAAACAATTACATATGCATGTACATTTATTGTCACTGTGTTTTTTTTTATTGAAAACGAGAAATCATGGATTTAGGCTATTAATAATAATATAATAGATTGGCGCTTACACATATGTTAGTGTTTGGCCGAGCTTCTCCTCCGATTTGTGGCGTGCGCCTTGATGTTGTCACACGAAGTGGAGGGACTTACAATTTTACGCCGACTCCGAACGGCGATTGTATTTTCATGAGAGGCTGTTTTTCATGTTAAGAAAAAACCTTTTTTCTATATTTTTTTTGATGTTGCTTTGACCAGGGCTTGAACCCAGGTGCAGCGGAGTGGAAGCGCGCACCGCCAACCACCACACCACAGCGGTCGACGATTTAAAATTTAGGCTATTATAATTACAATAATATAGCCGAAAATATATATGTATGTATAAATATGTATGTATATGTATGCGTGTTAATAGCACATCTTTAGAGGTCTTAACACATGCTAACTAAATAGTTATCATGCAGGTAATAGTTAACCTAAAATACATAAGTATAAAAACCAAGGGAACCAAAAACAATTAATTAATTAGCACACTACAAGTGAAGTTATTAATACTCCGTTTGTAGTTAGCTGAAAACAAGCTAATTTTTTTGAGACATCATCATGTAAAAGTAGTAAGTTGAATGCAACGTAGAGTAGTCGAGGCGTACACTCAGAGAAAAACGGCGTTCTAAAGTCCAGCACCAGCGGCCTCCTTTTTCATATTTTGTGTTCCTATTTCCTTGTTCTTTAAACAGGATCATTTGTTCTTGAAAAATCAGTATCCGTTCTTCAAGCAAGAACACTATGCTTGAATTAAGAACAATGTTTCGGAATTAAGAATCTATGGTCTTAATATTCGAACATATGTTATGTAAAAAAAATAAAATATTTCATTGTTCAGCATGATAACGTTTATGTACTTTGCTATTCAATTGACGTTAAACGGTTTCATCAACATTTACAATCTTACGAAGTTGGGTCAGTTAAAGATAATCTTTGTTTAAAGAACATTGATGAATTTCTAAGTTTTCCGATACATGTTTATCCTATGAATAATGGAAAAATGTACTTTAGAATTAAATATATTTAAGATACTGGTAAAAAAAAACGTAAAATAAAATGCTTAAAAATATTTACTGTAATATAATTCGTTTTAATTTTTATTGTGTTAAATTTTAAGTGTTCTTAAATTGAGCACATACGGTTTTTAAACAAGCACAGAGCGTTCTTTAAATGAAAACAAAAGTTATCGGAACAAGCACAAATTATTTCTAGAATGAACTCAAAGCGTTCTCAAAACAAGCCCGGAGCGTTCATTAAATGAAAACAAAAGTTCTAAGAACAAGCACAAATTGCTCTTAGATTGAACACAAAATGTTCTCAAAATAAGCACAGACCGTTCTTTAAATGGAAAAAAAGTTATCAGAACAAGCTCAAATTGTTCTTAGAATGAACTCAAAATGTTCTCAAAGCAAGCCCATAGCGTTCTTTATTTGAAAAGAAAACGTTCTCAAAGCAATCCTTAAATGTTCTTGCAATGCAAACGGCGGTCTTATAAAAGTCGTTCTTAAAACAAGCACCGCGTTCACGGGTTAAGAAAAAACGTACTTAACAGACTTTCGTCAACGAATGTGCTGGGGTTTGAACTTGTTTCGTTCGTTATGGAACGAATTTTTCCCTGAGTGTAGTCACCCGTAGTTGAAAAATAGTGAACTTATAGTGCATTTATAGTTAGTTGAGCTCTCTGCAGGGTATTAATAAATATGTGCATACATAAATAGTAAATTATATGCTTATTTATTGTGGATATTGTATCAACACTTTACGTGCAAACCGATATTACATTTAACTAAGACACAATTTTCGCGTACGTTGGTGATAATATCCGCTATGTGCCACAGTGATCTGAGGGTGGCAGAAAGTGCAAGTTCTGAAGAGTTTCGAAATAGCCAACTAGGTGGTTGACTAGATTCTAGACATGTCTATTGACATGATTTAAGCCTTTTTTCCGAGAACTATGGCCCAAGCACGTAGTATTTAATGGGCCCGGATGTTGGAGTTGTACGAATCGTATTTTTAAGTAAAAATGCAAAGGAAATTCACGGGCTCAACAATGGTAATTGAGTGATCGGTTTTTGTTGGATTTGTTTTCATCTTGAATGGCAAGCTCAAAAGAAGACAAGAGTTATTCTATAACGGGTTTTCATAATTTGTCCTAGTCCATTCAGAGTTGAGAACATATACATATATGATTTCAAGCATTTTCAACGACTTTATGGAGTGTAAGTACCATTGGGCTCCGCGCTGTGGCAGTGGATTAATATGAAAAATATAAACTACAAATTAATAACGAAATAGATGTCAGCTGGGTCATTGGCACATTCCCAAATAACAAGTGAACAGGACGATGAGCCTGATGAAATTTCCAATTATGTACATACTTGTAAAAAAGCTCGTAATATCCATACCAGGGTGTTCAGATTGTTAAAAAAAACGCAATTTCTGAAAAAACAATCGCCAAAAATCGCCAATTTTTTTTTAAATAAAATTCATGATATCGCTTTAACAAATATTTTATTTTAAAAATGAGATCATGTTATAATATAGTTTTTAAAACCAAAAACGAATATAATACCTTCAGGGCGTAATAATAAATAACACAAATCCTTATATAATAGTGATGTACAAACAATTTTCTTTAAAAATACGCATACTTTTTAAAAATATTTGTTTCAACATATTTTGCAATAGGACTGCGCAATTATTAAATTTATTATAACTTATTGATTAATCGAACAATCCGCTTTTAAGAACTCGGCGCTAAAAATGAAATAAAAACCTATAATAAGGCGAGATCAGCTATTTCCACAATTTCTTCAAAATCACCTATAGTGTTTGAATGATTCATATTTTTGTTGTCATATATTTAGCTATTCAACCTTGGTAGCATACTGTTTGATATTGGAAACGATTTGCAGCAGAAAAAACGCGCTCAACAAAGCAAGTGAGTGCGGCAAGGATTATAATATGAATTTACTTATATTTCCAAACATTTTATTGCCTGTTGCGGTTTTGACTCCGTAAGCAATTACCCAAAACTCTTCAGAGTTGGATGGAATGGTTCTGAGAAAAGCTATTCCATGGGAAAGTTAAAAAGATTTAAATATTCAGTTTCCGCTGCTTTTCTTTCCTTCAAAGTCAAATAGTGAATTGGCAGGTCCCTGAAACTCGCCCTCTTCTGATTCACACGCTTTTCTGGTGACAAAATCAAAGCTTTTTTAAAAGTATTTAATTGACTAGGCAATCGTTTCAAGAGTTCTTCGATTAGGGTGATTAAACATTTTTGACAGTCTTTTAATATGCTTCTTAAGTCAAGTTTATCACGCAGTTCATTAGCCTCTTCTTTAAAATTATAGTGGAAAACTAAGTTTTGTATATCTTTATAATTGGAAGAAATCCATCTGAAGGGAAAAAATCGCCAAAAATCGCCAATGGCGATTTCCCAAAAAAAAAAAAAAATCAAAAAAAAACACCAAATTGGCGCGAAATCGCCAAATCTGGGCACTCTGATCCATACAAACAGAAAAATGTACATCTACGGAAGCACAAAAACAAAATTTACTAATAAGTGGTTTAGTTTTTATACAATTTTTTAATATCGTTATATTTATAAGTGCAAGACATTGCCTTCTATCGGCTACTGACGGCATCTGTTACAGAAAAATTCTAACTGACTATTATTTTTGTAAATACAATAATATTCTGCGTCTGTGAGCTGAATTTCCGATTTTATAAAATGCTTGCACGATGCAGAGATTTTGTACAACTTCAACGCGTGATTGACGCGCTCTGTTGCAGGATTTTAGTCACTGACTAATGTCATACTACTTTTTAAACAATATCCTGCTCGCTATTAATTTTTCGAAATTTTAGAAAGTAGTTGCAAGATTAAGAGTTTCTATACAAAATTAAACTCGCCCGCGCCAGACGCTATCGAATTAGAGTGACTCACGCCAGGCTATTTCTCTACCCCACAAAAGTGATGTAATATGTATACAAAATTCAGCTTTTATAAAATGCTTGCAATGCTTTGTCGCTCGTCTCTCGGACTATAAGTATATGTTTATCTAATTTAGTATTACAAATAAAATTCAGTAAGCATTTTAAGACTCAATGAAACATATTTGATATGAACCTTGAAGAAATTCATTAAAGAAGTATGATTTTTATGAATTACATTAATAGCTTTAACAGACGAAACTAATATTCACACACGCCGGCAATTTACTGTCAAATCTTAACTAGCCGATATTTGACGGCGTGCGTAAAAGCTAACTCAAATTCCAATACTTCTTTTGAGTGACATTTTCGATTTGAAAGAATTCAAATGCAACTCTGAGAAATCACGCACGCAAATTGGTTTCGGTTTATCAGATGTGAAAAACTTGCGCGCGTGCGTAGAAAAACTCACGCCGATAATATTAGGTTTAGCTGTAAAAGAACTTTTCAAAGGCTTATTGATGTACGTCATACAAAAGCCCTTTCTTTAAGATTTTCTTTGTATAGCGAAAGCAGAATCCCTTCAATTTNCCCCCCCCATACAAAAGAGAATGGAATGACTTTCACAAAGAGCTTTTGGTAGAGATTTTAACTCCAGAAATTATCTACTGGGTAGTATGAATGACCCCTCAGTCTGTTCAGAAACTTCTACTTTTTTTGGGATTGGCCTGAACATAAAAAGTAAGATTTTAACAAAATAAATGTTAAAAAATGTTTCGTCATCGATTTTCGATTACAAGTAACAGAAATTCTCACATAATTTTCATAGCAAAATCTGTCAGAAATGAAATGGGCGTTTGCATCGACCTTCATTAAAAAACCAGGGCAATTTTCTAAAACCAGGACAAATCCTGGAAAACCAGTCCTAATCTAGTGTCACTTTTCTTAAGTAGTTTTCAATACATATGTTGCTTTTCTCTGCTCACAATTAAAAATGGTAAAAAGATTTTTTGGAATCACATCTATAAGATTTTTTTGCCTAACATTTTAAACAGGGTTATACAAATGCTATAAAATTTGTAAAAATAATAATTCTAGTGTGCGAGCAAATGCTAGTCAGTGAAGTTGTAAAATTTTCCCAGGCTTATGCATGATCACTTTTGTATCATGCACTGGTACTCAAAGCTCACGTCACGTGCGTATCTCTGAATAATACATACTAAGCAACATATGTACAGCGTGGCGACGAATAACTGTTACCCAGGTTTTTTTGAGAAATATTAGGGTCCTTTATAGATTTTGCGAAAAAAGTATTTTATTGTTAATTTTCCAGATTTTGCTTTAGTTGAATTAATTAGTTTTTAAATTTTAATCCCTATTTACATTTGCCAGCAGTGTAAACTTTGAAAGAAAAGTTCATTTGGCACACAGGTCTTCGTCAATTAATTTATTCCATATCTTCTGTAACCATAGGCTAATTTTCTCCATTTTGAGACCCTTATACTCCCCCTTCTGTCCAGCATAAGGCTTCATACTCAAAAATCGAATAGACTCGGAACTGGTGATTAGGACGGCCATTCATTACGTGCCAAATGAACTTTTCTCTCAAAGTTTACACTGCTGGCAAATGTAAATAAAGATTAAAATTTAAAATTTTATTCGTCGCCACGCTGTATATCAAAGAACATAGAAAACAAAGAAATTGACAAAATTTGGCTAGTTTATGTAGTGAGTAATTATTAACAAATTTCATTAAAAATTAAATGAAAATAAGTTAATTAAAAGTTGGCCAGATAACCCTACTACTACGTATGGTATGTACAGGCATGGGTAAATGCATATTAATGTATATATTTAATGGTTTATATTTACAGAATTATGTTTTGTTATGGATATGTAAGTTTGTAGATCAAAAAACATCGAATATAAAGAAAATGAATGTCCGTTTCCGATGACAGGGTTTTGAATTTAATCTCTAATAAGAACTTGCGTGGTTGCGTGGTAGTTTACGCGTCCAGGTAGAGGAAACCAATGACAGCTTATTTATATTCTAAGTTCTTTTATGGACATACATATTTACATACTTATGGTCTTTTTCAGTACCCGTCAGATTTATGGGACTTAATCAGAAGTCGTTCCTGTACACACTTTTATCTTCCGGACTAAATCTGTTTATTCTGACTAAATCCTGTAAATCTGATGAGTACTGGAAGAGAGTAACAAAATGCAGCATTCTCCTTCAGACATATTATTTATTTTTTCAATGTGTCATTCACGATGCTAGTATTCACTTTTATCTTCTTAAATATTTTCTTAGTACCTTAGGTTTTTAGTTATTTGAAAATACCATACTTTTTTATTTGCTACATATATGTACGTATATTGTTTAACAACTTTATCATTTCAATAATTCATTTACATTACCATTGTAAATGAGACATAAGATCGCAAACAGTATTAAGAAATAGAAAGGTATTATAGATTACACCTTCAAAAAATTTTTATTTTACGGCTAGAGTTTTTTAATATTTCTTCATTCGTATATTTTCAATTCTAACAGTTGAAACATTATAA